CTCCGGCATCAGTACGATGTGCGAGGGAGCTGAAGAGGAAGCACACAGAGGAGAGTGCTCCCTCGCGCGCCCGCCGCCCGCCCACCGGGTGTCAGCTGGGCCAGCCTCTGGGGGGCCCTGAGGTGACCGGCTGCTGGGCCCCCCAGGAGAAGAGGCTGGCCCAGTGGGTACATACCGGAGTCGCAGGATCCCCTGCGACCCCGGTATGTACCCACTGAATGTGGGGCCCGGACGACCTGAGCAGTCCGGGCCGCCCAGGACCGCCGGGCCCATGACAACCGTTACGGTTGTCATGCCCTGATGGCGGCCCTGCTCCTAGCACTTCCTGAGGACTCCAAGCACTGCAGCAGACACCACAACCACCGAACCGGAGAAGCATATGAATGCTCTCAAGCATTTGAATGCTGTAAGCAGCTGAACAGGAAAAGCATACAATCAGCTTACACTCCTGGCAATCAGCATACAATCCAATTCCCCCAATAACGAGACAACACTTCGTTTTGAGGTCAAGCAGAACTGACTGTACTGGCCCATACAGTCTCTTTTATTCACAATCCACAAACATAGTACTGCCCACAGGGTTTTGAAATACAACCAATCAATCCGTACAATACACACAGACACTCCCACACAAAATCCTCCCCTCTGATTACTGAACACAATGGTTAATATAATTATCACAGGCAGAGAAATACAGTATCATAAAACATATCACAGGGACCCCAAAACATGCAATAACCCCATATATCCTTGGAACCGGGGGATCTGGGTGAACCACATATCCAAAATTCACCCAGATCTGTTCAATAGTTTGGAAGATACAGTTTAATGCAGATTCCGCAGAACATATACAGGCTATATGAAAAATAATTACTGTATAATGTGTCTTCTGTTGTATAGTTTAAAACTACTGCACAATGTCTTTGTGCACCAAATACTGGCGAGATGGCACCATGTAGAAAAGTCTAAACAGTGTCTGTGAGTTAAAATGGCTGCCATCCATTGTTCTCACCATGTGCTTCATCCATTGTTCTCACCATGTGCATCTGATACATGAAATGGTGGCCACCCAATAACTCCACAGTATGTCCCCAGATGGTTCTTAAAGGGCCAGTAGCACAACACAAATCCTTTATGCCCCAATCATGTCTTTAAAGGGCAATACATCCCAGGAGCCATAGTCACATGGCAGGAGGCTGGCAACCAGGCTTCTCCAGTGCCCAGTGGCCAGGTCGGTTTTGCCACAGCACCTATTTTCCTGGAACTATTTTGGGCTAGCACCTCATGCCTGGTTGGTCGAAGCTTTACCCCGATGGCATATCTGAGTGATCTTTGGATGTTATACACTCAGACTGGAGGGGGCAGGGTGCACTTTTGAGGTACTGTATATTTTGTTGGACTTTCTGTACCTGAGAAACAATTAGCTTAGAGGTTTTCTCTCATGCAATTATCTCTCAGTCACAGAGGATCCTAGGATTGAAACCACTGTTTTATTGTATTGTAAACCCCATGTAAGGGACTGGGGATAAAAACCGTATATGGTCTGAATAAACTCAGTTGACTCCCAGAACTATGTTTCATCTGGTTACTGGCAGAATGTATATCTGATAAAATAGAAAGGTGAACAGCGCTAAAAATCAGCAGAATCGATTTTCATCATCAGAGAAGGTATATAATCTCAAGGACCCCAAGCAGCAAGCATTCACTTTTGAGAAAGCTTCGGCGAAACGCGTCAAGTGAGGAAGAATTTTGGACTTTTTTACAGGACTGGTTTTATAGTTTATTATTCACTTTTCACTTATTGTATTAAAGTATACATATATTTTTTAAACTATCCAGTCACTCCTCTTGTCCTCCTTCCTATCCAATACTGCTTTGCTGCTATACCTGGGTCCACTATATCCCAAGGTGGGGATTATTCCACCTGAAATTCTCCAAACTAGAGCAGGTCGTTGCTCTAGTATATGTAAGTAGGATCATCCACCTTTTTTTTACAATATTTTATATTTACGTACTATACCATGTGGTGTATTTTACTCTTGTTTTTCATGTAACGAATATTTACACCTATAAATTCACCAACGGTCTTGAACCTCAAGAAATCCATAGACGGGGATTATTCCGTCCAGGCTCTTAACACCGAGCTGATATAGCTCCTCAAAGTGTGAGTGTGAATATAACACCTTTGTTCTTGTGGAATTATATCGTTCATACATACTGTACCATTATTTGTATTTTTGTTTCTCTTTTTTTAAGTTACTCTGCTGGCCAGTATTTCTACAAAACGTATGTACCTTTTCTGATTTTTAGCGCTGTTCACCTTTCTATTTTATCTGCCCATTTATCACAAGGTAGAGGAACACCTTGTTGGTGAACTGCTGCTCACCCTTGAGAAGAGAGCGCTTATTATTCTTTTGCAGAATGTATATCTGCTTGTGTTAATGGTTCCAGAGTGGCTGAAGGAAGGAATTAGCGGAGGTAACTAGTCAGGTTACCCACCGGTTACCAGTAGGGGCATGCGTAAGGATTTAACCCCCCTTTTATTAATATGGGGGTTATAGTGACCCCATAGATTTTAATGCAAGTGGGGTAGGAATTGTTTATATTTATTACAAGGAGGGAGCTGGTAGCACTGCTGCCTCCCTCCTTGCTATTTTTTGTGCCCATGTGCAGTGTTATTTTCATCCTAATGGACGAAAACAAAAAAAGTTTTACAGAATTTTGTCTGAAAATTAATGTTTTATGGCCGAAATTCTAAATGGACAAATTGAATTTTTATTTAGTAAGAATTCATTCCTCAAAAACGAAAATATCACTGGTGCGTGTGCCTATTTTTCACATTCAGATCACAAGAACGGTTCTCTCTTGTGTGAGTTCTCTGATGACGGACAAGCTCTTTGTTAGTGACAAAACATTTTTCACATTCAGAACATGAGAACGGTTTCTCTCCTGTGTGAGTTCTCTGATGACGAACAAGGTCTGTGTTAGTGACAAAACATTTTTCACATTCAGAACACGAGAGCGGTTTCTCTCCTGTGTGAGTTCTCTGATGACGAACAAGCTCTGCCTTGGTGAGAAAACATTTTCCACATTCAAAACATGAGAACGGTTTCTCTCCTGTGTGAGTTCTCTGATGACGGACAAGGTTGGCATTGGTTAAAAAACATTTTTCACATTCAGAACATGAGAACGGTTTCGCTCCTGTGTGAGTTCTCTGATGACGGACAAGCTCGTTGTTAGTTACAAAACGTTTTTCACATTCAGAACATGTAAACGGTTTCTCTCCTGTGTGAGTTCTCTGATGACGGACAAGACCTGCATTGGTGAAAAAACATTTTTCACATTCAGAACATGAGAACGGTTTCTCTCCTGTGTGAGTTCTCTGATGACGGACAAGCTCTGCATTGGTGGAAAAACATTTTTCACATTCAGAACACGAAAATGGTTTAAGTCCCTGGTGAGTTCTTTGATGACGGACAAGCTCTTTGTTGGTGACAAAACATTTTGCACATTCAGAACATGAGAACGGTTTCTCTCCTGTGTGAGTTCTCTGATGACGGACAAGCACTTCATTGGTGGAAAAACATTTTTCACATTCAGAACATGAGAACGGTTTCTCTCCTGTGTGAGTTCTCTGATGACGAACAAGATTTGAATGTTGCCCTAAACATTTTCCACATTCAGAGCATGAGAACAGTTTCTCTCCTGTGTGAGTTCTCTGATGATGGACAAGCTTTGCATTGGTGAAAAAACATTTTTCACATTCAGAACATGAGAACGGTTTCTCTCCTGTGTGAGTTCTCTGATGACTGACAAGATCTGAATGTCGCACTATATATTTTCCACATTCAGAACACGAGAAAGGTTTCTCTCCTGTGTGAGTTCTTTGATGTGTAACAAGACTTGCATATTGTCCAAAACATTTTCCACATTCAGAACATGAGAACGGTTTCTCTCCTGTGTGAGTTCTTTGATGACAGACAAGCACTGTTTTGTGGGCAAAACATTTTCCACATTCAGAACATGAGAACGGTTTCTCTCCTGTGTGAGTTCTTTGATGACAGACAAGCACTGTTTTGTAGGCAAAACATTTTCCACATTCAGAACATGAGAATGGTTTCTCTCCTGTGTGAGTTCTCTGATGTGTAACACGTTTTGAATGTTGACTAAAACATTTTCCACATTCAGAACATGAGAATGGTTTCTCTCCTGTGTGAGTTCTCTGATGCGCAACAAGTTTTGAATGTTGATTAAAACATTTTCCACATTCAGAACATAAGAAAGGTTTGAGGTTTATGTTTACTATCTCCTTTGAGAACATATAGGTATCTGATAAAATGCTTGATTTTTCAGAGTTAGACTCATTGGTTCTGTTATTAAAAGATTTCTTCATAGCCTTGCTTCATGTATTTCTGTTCTTGTCACCTCTCCTGAAAAATACACCTGAAAGAAATATACTGGGAGTTAAAGGAAATCGGTCACTATAAAATTATTGTTTGCTACACTTAGAAAAACTGTCAATATTTGCCTAATACATAAGAAATCCAACCTTCAGGTGTCAAATTGATTACGAAGAAATTAAGTATTTTGTGTGCTTTAACCCATTCACTAGCAAAATTGTGTATACTCCTTTTTACTTTAATTAGCAAAATTAGATTTAGTCCATACAGCCTTACCTATCTGCATTTATGTTAGAGGAACAACTTACAGATACTGTGTAGATCACATACATTCTAATCACATATATTCTAAACACATGCAGCACGTAATTTCACTGTTGTCCCCTCTACCTCTACCACTGGAAGGCTGTGCCAAGTATCTTCTACTCTCTGTATATCACTCGTAGCCTCTACCATTTATATTAGAAGGTTGTGTTATTGACATATGACAGATACCAAAAACTGGTCCCAGGGCATGGACACACTTCGAGTGAGCTCCCAGATAGCAGATTTAAAAGAAGCCAAATCTACACACAAAAATTACAAATGGGTATAAAAAGAAGTTTACAGCACCCCAAGACCACACAGAGTCGGGCTCGAGCAAGAAAGATGCGGACCTAGACAGATACTTCAAGGGTTTTTTCTGCCTGGAGATAATTAAGTTATTACAGTATATGACTCAATTATCTCCAGGCAGAGAGGAGGGAATTATCTGTTTGCACTGGGAGTGTTACTGTTTGTCACTGTATTGTTATTGGCTGTACGCTTTGTGTCCCTGTCCCCCACAAGGTCCACGTTGGAGTGCCCCTTGCATGGGGACTTGCATAAAAGCCAGTGTGGCACCCATTAAAATCATTCCTGTTATTCACCATATACACGCTATTAATGCCCTGGCGGGGAATTAAATCCCTTACATGTGTAGACTCTTGGGAGAAGGACCTGGGTCAGACACTGCCAGAACAGACCTGGCTGGCCTCAGTGAATGCAACCAGAGGTTTGACATTTTGCGCTTCCCATTTAGAGACAACCCGCAAACATTTTTACCACTGGTACATGGTCCCCACACGCCTTGCCACCGTGGACCCATCGATGTCCAGAACATGCTGGCATTGCAAAATGGACACAGGCACATTCCTACACACCTGGTGGAAATTTATATAAAACACAATTTTAGAAAGGAAAAGTTGATAAAAATGCTCAAATCACCAAGTGTGAGTCACTCCAAATCACACAAAGAACCATACAATACAATAATAATATAGTGAGAGCAAACTCTATACACCAGATAAGATAGATATAAAAACAGGCAATATTACCATATAGCTGCAATGTCCTAAAAATAGAAAATAAGGAACATAGTATAGCCTGTATAGAATATACTAAAAATTATTAAGTGTAAAATTGTCCACTCACGTGGTACTGAGCCGTTCAGTGGCTCAGACTATAGGCGCCTTGTAAAAATTATGGAGACCACAATGCTGGAGAGGCAAATCTCTGTAAGAATTCCCTTTTGTGACTGAATGAAAAGTCGATTCAGGAAATGCAGGAACAAATTTTATTCGCCAACAATCGCATATAAAATGGAATCTCTCAAATTATTGCACTAACGCGTTTCAACCTAAACGGTCTTTATCAAAGTGCTAACAATGTCAAACAAATTAAACATTTAAATATAATTACAAAAAGGCGTGATTTCCTTTCCGGTTCACTTCCGGATTTCGGCTATCCGACCTCCAACTTCCGGTCACGTTGTGTTGCGTCTCTTCAAACACTTCCGGGTCAGCGGACAGTGTTTCTCTTGCGTTCCAGTACGTCTTCAATCTCAGTCGTAATTTCCGGCTTCCGGTCATGTGACCTATCACGGGATACTTTCGGGCAAAAATCATAACTCCCTTGCATTTTAATAAAGTTCCGGTCTTAAATAAAATCGAAATTTACTTCAAATGTCTTTGATTAATATGTCCATACATATATCCATCGAGCATATATTTAAAATAAGAATAAATAAATCCACAAATATAAAAATGATCACTCTATCAATTTATCATATATACACTATAAAAAAGGATAAAAAAAATATCTCTAAAAAGATAAAATAGAGCCCACCTGGTGGAAATGCTCGAAACTCCAACCGTACTGGGACCGATACTGAACTCCCCAACCTCTCTGCTTCTACTTATGTTCAAGGCCAATTACATACTTAATATTCCATATACTGGTGGTGGCCCAAAATTTTATCGTGAAGAATTAGCTATCACTCACCAACGTGTCAATGCAAGAGCTGATCCGACATATCTCCCAAATATGAATTAAAAATATCCTGGGTACCGCCTCATAAAAGTTGGAGACATGAAGTATGGGAAAACTGGGCACTGAAACACCCGACTTGAGCAAGACTAATGCACCTCACTAGGCACAGGGATGACATCGGGAGACAACACCAAGTAAGGGGGTACACACTGGATCATGAGCCTAGGGTATGGCACTAGCACCAATAGCCTCATAACCTCCTTTCAACAAGCTTGTATAACCCACCCCCTTCCCCCATCTCTCAATGCTGCTCCCCCCCTCAGCTATATACCTCCACCTTCCCGTACCTAAGTAAGAGCATCTCAACCTAAAACGACCCTCACACAGCGAGGTACCGACTCATATCACAGTTCATATGTGAGAAGAGACATTCGGTATCTCTCCCCAGCAGCAGCCAGCAGCACTGGGAGTGGAGATGGTTGGTCCCACTACCCATCACCAACCGGCATTACCGGGAGTTGAGACGGTCGGACTGACTCCCCAGCGGCAGTATGGTTTAAAGGGAGCGGAGACAACTGGTTCCTCTCCCCAGCGGCAGAGCCTGTTATCAGTAGACAGGACGATTGGAGCGGTGGGTACAGATGGGCCCAAGGCCTTCCCATATCCCCAACCTCAGCAGGAGTTTCAGAGAGTAGAGACAATTGGTCTCTCTCCTCAACAGCGGAGTGCCTACCAAGCAGAAGAGCTGGCATCAGGGTAGTGCACCGCTGGTCTCTGCCCACCAGTCCTTGAAGCTTTTGGCACGGGAGGGGTGGATGGGACCATGTTCTCCACCCCTGGAGTACAGGGATGCTGGGCAGTTGTCCCAGATCCCCAACGCCCCTGATTTTGCCCCTTCAGTAGAGCGAGTGTCTCCGTTTCCCTCCCCAATGGCTCTATGTATCCCTGAGAGGGGAGAATTGCTCCCTTCTCCTCTAGCAACAAAGTGATGTCACAGTAGCGGATTCTAGCTGTTGCCCTTCCCAGAAAGACCCCAGAGTTATAACTGGGAGCTTGTGGCAGGAGGCCCTCTGGGGCATGGCACAGTCTGGGAAAAGACACTAGACTAACACAGACCCAAACCTCTGTTCACCACGGGCTCCTGGAGGAGTGTGGATGCTAGCCTCCTGCCCACTGACTATGGGCTATATACAAAGGCCCTGTTCAGGAGTTAAATCTCCCCAACCGCCATTAGTGGCTTGCCCTGGGTGTCCCTGGTTCAGCACTTATGGAGCTAGAAAAATAACCAACTTGACCGGACATCTCCAAGCCAACAGATTGGGGGTCTATGCTGTCCCATGGAACTGGGGGAGCTATGTGACAAAACCTCTACATTGCCTTCCCAGGAACCATTCTCTTCCTCAGTTCAGGAAATCGTTTAAACTTTGTTTTTATGTTACCAAAGTTGACCGACCGCTAGCCCTGATTTCATGGAACTGTTTTGGGCATAGGACCATGTGCACGGTCGGTCAAATAATTGACTTCCATGGAAATCTCGAACCCCTGAACCGATCTAGGTGATTTTTTGATATGTTGGTCACCCAGATCGGTACTATCAGGGGATGTAACTTTTGTGGGGTTTTTATGTGTTCTGAAGGTACTTTTGGGGTGTTTGTAAATTGTATGTTTCTCTGTGCCTGGAGATAATTGAATTTGTACAGTTCCTGACTCAATCTCCCAGGCACAGGGGAGGGATTACCCTGTTTTGTGTGGGAGTGTCTGGGGCATGTTCTCTGTGTCCTTGTACTGCATAAAAGCAGGCCATTGAGCCTGGATTAAACAGATCATCTTACCCCTTCATGAAATGTAGGCTCATGTTTGGGGGACTGGGAGTTATATTAACACTTATATCCACTACGGTGCTTGGGACTTGGGAGATTCTTTACGGATTTACTCAGCTAGAGTACAAATGGATACATAGATATATATGGGGTACTGAAAGTATAATTGCAGGCACAATAGTGCAAGAGCTCCCACAGCGGGTTCCATGGAAATAGAAAGCGATCATATAGTGTAAAACCAGATAAAGTGCTAAACCAGTTAAAAGTTATTGCCATACATAATACACTGATCAGCTACAACACTAAAATCACTTGCCTAATTTCATGTTGATCCTTTTTGTGATATCTGGCAACAAATCATTAGCAGCAGATCTTTTAAGTAATGTAAGTAGCTTGGTGGGGCCTCATGAATTGGATTTGTTGTTACAACATGTGGCGGACCGCCTGGTACCCTGGTACCTCCGCCAAGCATGCTCCCTATTGCTGGGACACCATCTGCATTCCAGCCCCTAGCCGCTGCAGCTTGGCTGGGGTCTCGCCGTCACTGCCCACCCTGGAACAGGGTCCTAGATCAAGCTTCTAGTGATTAAAGCTCTCCTGCAGAGAGTATAGCTGTTGAGTGAATATAGCAAGCTGAGTGAATATAGCAAGCGAAGTGATTATAGCTGTCCCCCGCAGACATTAATGCTGGGAGTGAACTGGTTTAATAGGGAATGGTAGACAAAATTTACACAGACCCCCAAGAGAGGTTCTCCATACAATTCAACACAGATGCCTCCACGGAGTCTGTATCTGGGAGAAAATTGAGTGTGCGCTAGAGTTGAGCGAACCCGAACTTTACCGAACATTACGATTTTTTTGGACCCCGGACCCGAACACGGACA